ATCAATAATCATATTAGTGTGATGACTAATTTGAAAATCAATAATTAAATTGACTATTAAACTTAATAACATTTCTGTGTTTATTTTATTGTTTCTATAATACAATATTACTAGTAACTTTCTCAAAGTTTTGTTCAATACATACTTCATCTAACTCTAGCAATGTCAAGGTTTCTTATACTAGTATTTTTTGGAAAAAGATGACTGGGACTAGTGTAATGGGATCCTGAACTTGAGATGGCCTTAAATACTTATCAAATTAGAAGATTTCAGGGTAATGTCGGTTTGTAAAGCATTGTGATGCCCATGTTTCTTCTATGACAGCAGCAACCTGTAAATAATATCTACTTAAACTAAATGGCTAAGCAGGATCGAACATCTACAGATAGTCACAGATCAGCTACTTGTTTGTGATTCCTGGTAAATGGTTTAACTTCTCTGCCTCTAGAGTCTACATGTTAAAAAGGACATCTTTTTCCAAGGCTGTATTGACTCTGGAATAGAGTAGAATACTAAGGTATGAGATATTATTAAATTTACAAACTTTATAGGCATTTCCAGTGACACTCAACCCATGTTGTAATAAAACCTGCTATACTTAGCTCTAAATAGAAAACAAATACGAGTGTGTATATACACCCCAATAGCAAGTCTCTTTATTTCCTAAGGTAGTGTGATAGTCACTTAGATCAAATATCAAGTGCTTCCACTGTGATCTTTCTCCAAAAGAGCCATTGTTTGAATTGGCATACATTTAAAATTTCACAGTTAACTTAACTAATTTTTATTTTAAAATTTGCCAATTTTAAAATAAAAGATGTCTTGAACTTCACAGCATGATCAAACCTTGATCTGATGAGAAGAGTGTTAAAAAGCCCATGGCTTTCTGATTCTAACAATTATTCTTTTATTGCTTCAGTTCCAATCACTTTAGATTCTTTTTTTCCTTTTCGGCATCCATGTCATGCTGATGGTTCACACTGAGCTTGCAGTCAATTATAGCCTGGTACCTGTAGTACTTTTCAAAGAAAATCCTGTTAAACCAGTTCTTTTCCTGTACTGTAATTATACAGTTAGTCTTTTAGAAATTTAAGGTGGAAAGTTCTTTCTTTTGAAGTATATACCTTATTAAATTTATGCTTTATTCTAATCTGAAAAATTTCTGAATCACAATTTTAATATCTAAGCTGTCAGATTCATGTTGTTCACAGAGTCCATAACTTCTACTGTTGCATTCATGTAGGTTACTAAAGTGTTAAATATATTACTTAACATGGATAGTTGCAAACATATAAATATATTTTATATGATTGATGCTTTAGCTTCAATGACTGGTTCATTGGATATAATGCTTTTTCAACTGACTAAAATTTCTGGTTGCATCACTGTGAATCCACATTTCTCTGGGCTTAATTTATTATTTCTGGAATACAATATTATAAGTAACTTTCGCAAAGGTTTGTTCAGTACATGCTACATTTAGCAACAGCAATTCCAGGGTTTATTTCAAGCAGATGACTGTGATTAGTTGCAATGGGATCCTGAACCTCAGATGACCTTGAGTGATTACAGAATACTTTAAAAATACTCCATTCAAGAAATGTGTTAGGGCATAGCATCATTTTTAACTTTGCTTATGTAAAGGAATCTTTTTGGCTGCAACTTTGAAATGGTAATCATTTGAATGTTTATAGATATTTACCTAATCTCTTTCTTTACAAAGTCTTAAATAATCTTAGGATTTTTTTTTCTTCAAATTTACATTAA